ATCTGACTAGTACACTGCTGGCACTGTCCTGGTGGGCTCTTCCTCTGAAGTCTGTAAACTGAGAGCTCTGTGTGCACAACAGTGAAGAGATACTGACTACTAACTTGACACCACTACCACCTGTGCTGGGTAGTCAGATGGTCTTTGCAAAAGTATGTGATAGATTGATGTGAGTGTGGGTATCTGCATAAAATGACACTGACAAGACTGGCATATCCCTGCAAACCTGTTTCATCGCTGAACATTTGTTTTGGCAAAGAAACTGTTGAGCAGCTCCAAGAGCACTTGGATGCTCACACATCAGAATGATTTATTGCCACACTGGATTCTGCCCCCTTCATAAGCAATACATTTATATCCAAACAGTGTGATTTAGATATGTATTCTATGTGTTTATTTGTTTTCACAGTCAAAGAAGGGATGATGTTGACAATCTAAATATATATCTTATTTCATTAGATGTTATCGTCGAGCGAGGTGACCTCATTTAATAAGAAAAAAGTAATACCATTTATACATTTTAGGGAAAGTATTACATGTTCTTCCATACCTTTAAACATACACTGAATCTAAAAATTTGAGAAATTAATCTGTGATTTTCTGGATGCATCAAAAACACGCACACATTCAGAAAACATAACTCACTGCATTCAATTGAACTACACTGGATTAAATTTAATTTTTCAGTGTAACCATCTGAAAATCAATAAAGACTCTGAAAACCCTAGCATGTATAGTGACCACCTATTTACAGCCAATACACTTATATATAGTTCAAAGAGATGAGTCATTTTATGTGCGTTACTGTCTCTGTGACATAGGAGTGGCCCAAGTTAATGATTTGCGTGCAATTCTTCCCATCAATCCCTGTCATGTCCTCCAACACACTGGCAGCATACCATTACTGAAACAGTTCACATTGTGACTGCATGAGAGAATGAGAGCAACCTAGTTGAGTATACTACACATGTACAAAAAATCTAGCTCAGTTAAAACCACAGGTGGTGCTGAGTGCTGTTGACACGCATGATGAAGAGAGCTGATAAAGACGCAGGTCAGCATCAACTATATGTCCTCTATGCCACTGTTGCTCCATAAGGAGGACAAGCCAGTTACACTAGCCTGTTTTAATAACCTTACTTTCTTAAGTGTACTTCCTTCCTCGGAGGATAAGCTTTTTGTTACCAATGTAAACAGCAACTTTACAAACTTAAATAATACAGTTGACAGTAATTGTTGTTATTGACATATGTGATAATCACAGAGTCTGATGATGGAGTAATATAGAGCCATGTCTGTCAGTGCCATTCAGCCAAACCAACGCATGACCTTTGAATATGGGATTATATGGTGTAATGACCCATTACAAAAATAATTTGTTATTTATGACTTAAATTATCAGTTAAAATATGTAAATACCATAAGCCCAATGCTGCAGAAAAGCGCATCTTTTCACTTCCAAGTGTGCATAATTGCTAGAAGAATACATTGTGCAGGGACCCTTAATGACAGAAAGATATAGCTCCTTCTATGGCGCCTATTCCTTCGGTCATGGCATAGCCATTCCTTTGCCACATTTAGAAAATGTCTTTCATGATTACCTAATGCACTTTGTGACACTGTGACAAGGTTATCCACAATCCACAGATCATGCAACTGCAATGCTACACATTTAAGAAGAGTAAGTTAACTGTATGTTTGTCAGAGATTTTTTTAATATCTAGTCAACCCATTCACACTGATATCAAGTATGACATTATGTGGTCTCTGTGGAAATTCACTCTCACAATGAAGTCTTGGCAAGGCTGTATATTTGCAATTTTAGCAGTGCACAGTCCAACAAGTATGCAGATATTTTCTTTTAGAACAGAAAATAGAAACAGAAATTCAAATATGGCTCTATTTTTAGCCATCAAAGGTGAGAGAAATTATAAGTTATTTTGATGTTTCAATTAAATGTGAAACAGTTCTTTGCATTTAATATAGACCTGAGGCCTGTAATCAACAGTTTCTGCAATGGGACTTTGTCATCGACAGCAATTTCAGAGACATCTTAGATTTGTAGAAACTGAAAGGGTAGGTGCAGTCTCCTGATTCTATGAACATACAGTAGCAGTGAAATAGTAGGGGCTATCTTTTCTCAGATCTTCTCTGGTTGAGAGTAACTATTAATCAGCACCGAATTGGTCTCAATTCCCTTTGTGCTGGCCCATTCTGCACATCTTCATGACCTTTGGCTGCTCGCATCAGGCGAACCATAAAAGAAATTGCACAGCTAATAAATTAAACTTGACAGTCATGGCCATTTCAAAGTGATATGTTTTTCCTGCAGTCCCAGTGCATGAAACATATCTAAATAGCAATATTCTGACCAATAGAGAGTGTTTCAAATGTTACAAATAAGCTTCATAACAAAAGCATTATTCAGCATGAGGTGTGAAAATGGAGCAAGTTAAAAAACAATGTGACAAACAGGGTGTTGAAAGGCGAGTTAGTAGTGAGTGGTGGTGGAGGAGGTGGTGTCATGCAGATGCTTGTCCCCATCAATGCATTGGAAAAGTGACATGAAGATCAACAGTGAAAATGGCTCATTGATGAGCAGGGGAGGGCTATGCTGTATATAAGGGGGAGAACCTTCCTTGCACCAAAGAACTGATCAACAATTTTGACTTCTTTGCCACACTGATTTAGAACTATCTCATCAAAACCTACCATACTTTTTTTCTTGGATATAAAGACAAAATAATCTGGTAAGAATGACATGACAGTGACATAGTATTTTAATTCTTTACTGTACAGTTGACTATGGTCAAAAATGCCATTTGTTATATTGGGATACAATGAAATCAGTTTTCTAACCATAGTTTTACTTAATTTGTTTCAGCTACTCAATATGTTTTCTTTGAGGTACTTGGAAACATTGGCTCTGATACTTTTCCTTGCCAGTTTACTCATAGAGGCTAAACCACTGAGGTACAGTGAGTTCTGTTTTTAGTTTGTGTCTTGACGTGGTGTAATATGAAAACAAATCATTAATAATGAATTATTATATTGAATAATTGGTTGATGAAGGAAGTCTTCCTTGAGTTAACAGTGGTGTTTTCTATTTCTACAGAAAGAGAGCCATCAGTGAGGTGCAGCTTATGCACAACGTTCAGGAACACAAACAAGTGGGAGAAAGACAGGAGTGGCTTCAGGAAAAGTTAAAGGATATCATTGTTACCAGCAACAGACCAAAACAGGGACAATCAGGCAATATGAAAAATCTTTTATCAAATGATGTTCTTCGATTAAGAATATGTAAAAGCTGATTACAACTTATTTACTATCCTATATCTTACCAAACAGAAGTTCTGTGCAAGATTTGAGGAGCTGATTTTTTTTTTTATTTATTTATTGTTTTATTTCTGATTATTTTTTGTTATTTTTTTATGAATTTCTTGCTTATGTGGTTAATATTTAAATTATTTTTCATTAAATTATGTTTTGTATTTTTTGTAATGTCTGGCACAAGGACTGTTTACATCTTATTTGAGGGCATCATTAAAGAGTTAAACATTATCTTATATGCTGGTGTTCTGACAAGAAAAGTCATAATTCACTATTTAAAATATATGTTATTTACTGTATAAATTAATTTGTAATATGGACCAACTATAAATGCATATATTGTTTCATTATAGGCATCCTTTCATGTAATGTCTTTAGTAATATTTATGTCAATTCAATTACATTTTATAGAGCGCCAAATCAAAATAAAAATCTCAAGACACTTAGTAATGTCCACACCTTATAGTATTATCAAGAAAAACCCAACAAGTCCAGCTTTGAGCAAACATTGTGGGAGGTGAAACTCACTTTAATGGAAGGAAACCTCCAACAGACATGGGCTCTTGATGGGCGGCTATACTACCTCGACCGGTTGGGTTGAGTGGATGGAGGACAAAGAACAGAAAAGAATCAAGACACAACAAACAAAACAGCAAATCAACACACACTAGGCAGATTGATGTGGGTGGTGACTGCTCATCATAAATGTACAGTTCTGGAACCAGGGATACCTGCAGAAAGGTACAAGGAGAGGGAGAAGAGAGTTTGTATTTTAGTTTTGATTGGCATGGCCTTTTTTCTTGTACTGGAGTCAGATTGGTGTCTGGTGTTCTGCTCATGATTTTTACAACAAATTTCACTAAAATATCTCAATAAAACTTCTTCTAAAAAAATCTATGTTTCAGCTCCATCACCATACTCTTTTCTGATTAGGCTATCATATAAAAACCTCACCATTGTTTATCCCAGTTACTCTAAGCTGTTCATGTTTGTTTTCCATTTTATCAACTGGAAGGCACAAAACTCAACAGAGATGCTTATTGAGTCTAAAATTTCTGGATTATTTCCATTATTTTGCCTTGCATTAGTCTACATACAAGTAACACTATATTGTATATAGGCTACACTGAAATGACACTATAGTAATAATTTCCATTGAAGCCTATATAGCCTACTGATAATTCACAAAATTGTAATAGGCTATTTGAAACTAAATTATCTCATAAATACCTGATTTTCTACATGTCATTTCCTATAGTAGGCCTACTGTATAATAATAAACTGTATCCTCTTCATATTTCCATCGTGGTTGTAATAAATATTTTATTTGATGTCTTTCAGAATGCCCTTGTGAGTTCAGCCATACTGGCTAGTTTAATTATTTCTGAAGGTGAGAATATTATCAAAGAATATACATTTAACTTTTAAACACACACTGCCTCACATTCAAAATGTCAATATCCTGTATACAGTGAAGGACCGTTTCACAGACAGTGTATGTTAAGTTGTCCTACCTATCTATCTATCTATCTATTTATTTATCTATCTATCTATCTATCTATCTATCTATCTATCTATCTATCTATCTATCTATTTATGGTTGTTTACATATTATTTTTATCAGTCACCATCTCTGCGACTGCCATTCTACTTTTCTGTGCGTCATCACGTCAATCCTTTAACGTCTCGTTGGACGTGTTTTGAAAGGAGATGGCTAGTTAGCTGCTGGCAATTGGGATAACACTAATGTGTTAGCGGAGAGGTAGCCAACGTGGTAGGAAGTTTTTCCTTATTTTTTCCACGTCTCTATAGAATATGACTGCGTTTATGTCAGTATTGTTGGGACAACTTCACAAGTCACGTAACTGTCTTAGAATATTATGATAATTGTGTTGTAAATGTACTACTAGCAACGCCAGCTAATGTTAGCTAGCTATGTGTGCTAACACAGGAAACTAGCTAACGCTAGCCTAGCTAATCGTATGCTGACTCAGTTTGAAAGTAACGTTGACAAGATTTGTTCCGAGATGTGTAATAATTATTCGCTTATATAATGTCAACGACATCAGCGATCATTCAGCCTCGTTTGTATGACAAGTCGACAGCAGGCGTGAATTTAGTGAAAAAATATTTTGTTAGCTGACAGCATTTAGCCCGTGGTTTGCTAGGGGCTGGTCAGGGGGTCGAACTGACTTGTTGATTTCGCCATTAACCAGATCATGAAAGGTGAAAAGACCAGGCCGGACTCCCCCCTGTACGGGTGATGGCAGCACGTCTGCAGTCATATGATAGTAACTCAAGTGACACAGAAAACTGGGAACGAAAAGCAGCAAGGCGACCTTGCAAACTCTGCAGACATCCGAGGTGAGCCAGCTAGAACATTGTTAGACCTCAGTACTGGTAAAAGTTTATCGCAGCAATTCAGTGTCAATCCATGTTTGAAGGAGAGGATTGATGTTTGTCTTAGAATACACGTATTACTTGAAGCGTGGGATGAAAGTAAAAATTACTAGACATTCCTTGGAGTTATGTACCCATTTCCGTCGGTTATCTGTATATGGACATTAACGTTACTCCCATGATAAGTGGTGAGTGAAACCATAATATGAAGTCATGCATGTTTGCGCAGTTAGTTTTAAACCAACCAGTAGAGTATACTAAACTGTCATGAATGCAGTAAGTAGGGTAGTATATAAGATGGTGTATACAATGAAAAAATATGCGAGTGATTAAGGATATTGCCAAACTGTTTGTACCTGTTCATTTCATATCACCTGTGTGATGCCAATCTGGAAGACATTCTCACTTAGTTACTTTATATATTGGGGTTGTAGATTAATATTTAGTTGTTTGTTTTTTTATTAATTTAGTAGTTGCATTGTGTGTATAATGTTAGAAAATAATGCAGTCTATAATCATTCCCCCTAGCCCAAAGTGATATATACCTAATAGCTTTTTGCATTCAACCAATAGTCCAGAATCCAAAGATATTCAGGTTACTGTTATGCAAGACAGGAAAAACTGGCACACCCTGACACAGTAGATGGTAGACCCATCAAATGTTTGGCATTTTTGCTTAAACATTCCTCTGACCATGAAGATTTGTATTACCCGTGGAGGGTAATTCCACTACTGATGACTCTGATCTAATTTACAGTATAGACTATTTCATCCTACCCTGTGAAGTCCTTTTTCTGTAGCATTTCTGCATTTTTCCCCCTAAAGAAGGAACAATAGAGACAGAGGAGAATAGGGCAGACAAGAAGAGTCTAGATCTTTGTGTTTGCCCTCAGGCCAAGGGGAGTGTGCCTATGGGATTCCCTGCAGTTTGTGGGTGGGTTTGTACTCTGTACTTGCTTCTTCCTTTTTTCCCTTTTAAGAAATCAATAAAGTGTATATTAATGTGCTTTCTGGCAGTGAATAGATTTGTATCTTTTAGACCAGGGGTAGGCAATCCCGGTTCCCAAGTGTCACTGCTGTGCTTGTTTTCCCAACTATCCATCGCCTTTGGACTGCTGATTAACTGGATCAAGTGTGTTCAGTCAATCAGAAGCTGAATGCTCTTAAAAGAAGAGTTCCAAAGTGCTCTGTCCAATATCTTCTGGTACTTTCCCAAACTGTGTAATGTGTACTTCCTTCTATATTTAGATCACCCAAGATGTCTGTCACAACTCGGGCATCTCTGATTTTGGTTTTGTGCCAGATAGGGTATCACATGTGGTAAAAACAGGATTTGACTGCATTCCAATTGTGTGTGTCATACTCTCAGTGCAAGCTTACAGAATAAGGTTTGGTCTGGTTGTTGCATATGTTTTTAAGGCTTCGTTATGTAAGCTTGTTGGAGTGAATGTATTGTCCATTAATGTTAATGTTTTAAGGGGCTTTCAGATAGGATGTGATGGGCACTGCACTCCGCTTTTGAACCCATTCATTTCTGTGTGTTACGTGGCACACGGACGTATCTGCACTAAGGTTGCAGGTGCCATCCCTGTGTGCTGCACTGAAGTTAAAAGACAGTTCAACTTGGGCACAGCGCTGTGTGACAATACCTTGACATATCCAATTGCAGATAACCTGACAGACTACAAAGAAAATGGAGGAAAAGTTCATTTTGGCAGATGCACACCCTTTTCTCCTTTGCTGCATCAATACATCTAGTCAGGCATTTTCACTGACACATAGATACATTGTGCATCCAAGCCTGCTGCTCAAAAAACTAGTTAATATCTGCTAACCACCTCCTGTAAAGCTTTTTGGTCACTTAGCAACTGGTGCCCAATGTGCGCGATTTCTGCATGTGCGCCCTCCTCCTCTGTGCTGTGCCCAACCCCCGCGGCAAGCACAGTGCATACCGCATCCTCTCTGAAAGCCCTTTTAAACTCTCCTTAACTGCTGAAAACTAAACTAGATGATGAAGATGAACAGTGTGACAACCCTGTTGGTATTGTAAGGGAAATGTCTTTCATCATTCTCACATTTACTCTTCCCTCTGTCTCCTAAAGGAATCAAAAAATCTTTCTTGTTCAGCTGGATGTTTTTTTTTTTTTTTTTTTTTTTTTTTTTTTTCTTCATACTTTGATTTTTGTTAACAAGTGCACAGAAGTAGTGCAGACGGATCTGTAAAGCCCTTGGGTCTGTTGGGAATGGGTGTGTCTGTGTATCAGAATAACTACTCTGAAATAAAAATATGCTCTGGCTTCAAGAAAGAGAGGAATGTTAAGTATGTGTTTGTCTTGAAAAGTAACAGTCCGACCCAAGCATCTCGAGTGAAGGCAGAACAGAGGAAGATGAGTCTGCATGGTGCCAGTGGGGGCTGCGATCGCTCACGTGACCGCCGCCGCTCCAGCGATCGCTCAAGGGACTCCTCTCATGAGAGAGAAGGCCAGCTCACCCCCTGCATTCGCAACGTCACCTCACCCACCCGCCAGCACAACAGTGGTGAGTATGCATCGAGAGAACAGAGGGCTTATATGGATTTCAGGTTAGATGTCTGCAGCTCATAGCAGCTGCTGTTCACCAGCTGACTGCATTTATCAGTTTGCAGCTCAGACATGGTTTATATCTCTGTTTTTGACTGTGAATGGATGAAGTCACCAGCGATCCACCTGTTTGTGTTTAGACTAAACCAGCTAGTACTTTGAATGTCTGGATACAAAACAACATGTTCAGTAAACAAGGTGTTGTTTCTGATGAGATGTTTACTCTGATGTTTGTGTACTAAGTTAAAAGGGCAAACTGTTCATGTGAGCCATTGTTCTGCCTGTCTGTGCGTAGACCGTGAACGAGATGGTGGTCCATCATCGAGGCCCAGTAGTCCACGGCCTCAGAGAGTCTCTCCCAGCGGCTCCAGCAGCAGCGGGGTGGTGAGCAGTCGCAATAGCAGCCTGTCCAGTAATGAAGGAACATTCAAAAGCTTGGGAGCTGGAGATATGGTTTTTGTCTATGAGAATCCCAAAGAGGGAGGAGCAGGTGCCACCGTTGGGAACCGAAACATCAGGACCTCAGAAAGGGTCACGCTGATTGTTGACAACACACGCTTTGTAGTAGACCCTTCTATCTTCACTGCACAACCTAATACTATGTTGGGCAGGTATATACCCTTTATAATCCTTTGTCCTCCACCAAAATAATTAAAACTAACAGTAGTTCTCTTGCTGTATGCATTAAATTTATTTACATATAAAAGTAGAATTTTTTTTTATTTTTATTTTTTTATTTTATTTCTTGTGATGCTGAAAACAAACCAGAGCTTATTCATTTCAGAATGTTTGGGTCTGGAAGAGAACATAACTTCACACGGCCAAACGAGAAAGGGGAGTACGAGGTGGCTGAGGGCATCAGCTCAACTGTTTTCCGAGCAATTCTGGTTTGTCTCTTTTTAATATTGTTTCTCTGTATTAAAATGTTAGTTGACGAAAAAATTGATACATCTCAGTATTGTGCAGTACAGTTTTACAAAAGAAGAAACTAGTGCCCAAAATGCCTATAAAGATAAATTGACACCCATTTAATCTAGATTCAACAAAAAATTAATATACATTGTTTTCCCCCTTATCATAAAAAATCATAACTAGACACAGTTCTAACAGAAAAAAGTATGTTATTACAGTTAGCTAGCTACAGCTAATAAATAGGCAACTGATGAGTGTTTATGAAGTATTACTGGACTAAATGTAGAAATATAAAGCTTACTTTGTGATAGAGTGAGGAAATTAAAGAAGTAGACTTTTAGTGACTGCTCTGGAACTGCTGTTTATTTATTAAAAAAATGTTTTGCCTCTGACAGCAGTAGTAGAGACAGACAGGAAATATGGGGAGGAGCATGATGTGACAAAGGCCCCCTGGGCCTGGGAGTTGAACTGTGGATGTTATATTGGATGGTATGCGCCTTAGTCGGGGTGTCACAAACCAACCCAGTTCCAGAAACATGATAGGGGGGAGAAGCCACTTAGCTAGTTGGTGTTACACACACATTCATATTAACAGACTCAGTGAAATATTACAACTCATTTCATGGTCAACTGCATGTTACCCTTTGCCTCCTGAGAACCCATCTTGCAACAGCTTTGAAGGTCTGGGTAATGAATGAGTTCTGCAGATTTAAAATCAAACCGGCTGAACTCTTCTGTTAGATGTTTTTTTTTTTTTAATATTAGGTGACTTATTAATATATATTTTGTGATATGAATTAATGGATTAACACAGTGTTTGAAATGGCTGCCTACATTGTGTTTTCTGTGTATTTCACAGGAGTACTACAAATCTGGGATAATCCGCTGCCCCGATGGAATCTCCATCCCTGAGTTGCGGGAGGCTTGTGACTATCTATGCATCTCCTTTGACTACAGCACTATCAAATGCAGAGACCTCAGTGAGTATTTCCTCTGGGTTGGTGAAGCAGTTAAACATTAACGGTGTCAGTCTGAGTGAACAAGAGAACAGCACTTGCTGCCTTGTCACTTTCACCCTCTACAACACGGGTGGCCAGTTCAAGTCCTCGAGGGCTAGAATTGACCACCCCTGCTCTACAACCTTGCACAATACAAAGGATGTCTTGTAGCTAGTGAAGCATAAAATCACCAAACTCTGAGCATTACTGATTGTATTGTAGATCGAAATATGCTTTTCTGTTGGTGGGTTTTTCTTTTTTGTTTTTATTTATGACTTTTATAATGTGATTAAGACCCCAAAAAATTACATAATCTGTAAGGTCACTGCCAAAAACCTAACAGTTCGTGCAAATTAAGGATGAACAATTAAGTCTCAAATTAATACATTTGCAGTAAGGAATGTATTGAAAAATGACTTTTCAACATCCTACCTTATTCTCATTATTTCTAACATGCAGTCACTGAGCTCAGGGTCAAAATATATTAGCCTGTAGGGTTTGGCATCTTTCTTTCAACTTTTCCTCTAAACAAAAGAGAGTGGCTAGATTCTTGGTGATCTGTCATGTCAAGCCCCTTTCAGACATGCACTGTTACCCAGGATTTGGTTATTTGACATCCAGGTGCCATACCCCGTGTCATGTAGCCGGCAAAGTGTTATCAGCAATTTTGCCTAGTCATAACCTAGTCAAATCGCAGATTCACTGATCTGTTCCATCTAATGCCACTCCCTCTCTCTCCTTTCACTCTCTAGCTCACCCCACCCCACCCACTACTCCCCTCTCTTTGTTTATATCTTATGTTTATAGTGGAGTAGATAAGTACACACTGTGAAATTTGAGCATGAAAAGAACATAACATTACTGGCTGGCACAAAGTTTATTTTGAATTGGTACAGAGGAGGTACAGTTTAGCAGATAGAATGGCTGAAATTGGCCTGACATGGAAATCAGAGGACTGATTGTCCTCCAGCCAGAGGAAGAAATTACTACAGATAAAAGGTAGGTCGTGCTGCAGTGGGTCTGTCTCGCGGGATACTGGACATCGCTTGAACATTGTGATTGTACCCGTCTGGGTCCTGTTAGCTTGAGCAAAACCTTGTCAGGATTTCATGCATTCATGCACAGCAGTTCTGTGTCTGAACGCCAGAAAAGCAACTGCTACACAGTTACATGCAGCCTGTAGACTCATGGCTATTGTATCTGCAAATTGCTTTGGTTTCCATGAGTGTTCTACAGTTTTAGTAACTGCTGTTGTCTTTAATAATTTTTGGTGTAGTGTGTGTGTGGAAAAAGATTGCCCGGACCTGTTAATGGCTGCAGTGTTTGGGCATGGCACAAACGGCATTTGTTCAACACTGTACAGCAGTACTTTAGTACGATGCTTCCTCTGCAAATATTGATAAGATAGAGAAGACTACTAGTTGTTTTTTTTGTTTGTTTGTTTGTTTTTGTTTTCCCCAACCCAGAACTGCCTCTTTTTCTGAAATACACTGTCAGAGCTTCGGGTTTTTATTTATTTTGTGCTACTTCATTGCATTATCTGTGTCATCTCATTACTTCAGTGTCTGAATGTGTTAAACTTTTTAGACTTTAGTGCAGTGCATGATGGATAAATCTGAGTGCCGCTATAAGCTTGTTCTAACTCACATTCTCAATCTTCTTCATTAGGTGCCCTGATGCACGAGCTGTCCAATGATGGAGCTCGGCAACAATTTGAGTTTTACCTTGAGGAAATGGTTCTGCCTCTGATGGTGGCCAGCGCTCAGAATGGCGAGAGAGAATGTCACATTGTAGTTCTTACTGATGATGATGTGGTGGACTGGGATGAAGAATATCCTCCACAGATGGGAGAAGAGTATTCACAAAGTGAGTACACATTAACATGCATGTGGGGATGTATTTTCAGTAGGGGGGGGGGGGCTGCCTGGGATAAAAGTGCCCACACGCGAGTGTTTAGAATAAAATTTGTGTGGAAATAATGTGTAGTGCTTTTCATAAAATGAAAGTACAGTCAAAATTCTTTTTTTGCATGCTACATGTTTGGGTGTTTTCCAAAATGATTAAGTTGAATTCATTTAGGTTTGTGTTGACATAACATCCTGGTTATGATCCACAATCTCATTCACAGCATTTAGCTCATCAGATTAAATCTAACTCTATTATTAACATTTACATAACTCAACATAATAAGATGTCTTCGTGGTTTACATCTAAAGGCTTGAGAGCCTCCCCAGCTCCTCTGAGCCCAGTAGTTCCAACCCTTGGCACAGGCAGTGGCCTGTCGATTCCCAGACACCACTGCTGCTCTCTTTTTGCAGCGATGTCAACATTAGCTGTTGTAACTACTTCGGCTTCAGCATTAGTAGTGTTGTTTTAGTTTATCTTCTTTGAAATATTAACAGTAATACAGATCCAATACACATCCGTGCCTATGGAAAGACATTTTTTCCCTTCTCTTTTCAGTCATTTACAGCACAAAACTGTACAGATTTTTCAAGTATATTGAGAACCGTGATGTGGCCAAATCGGTGTTAAAGGAGAGAGGATTAAAGAAGATAAGACTGGGCATTGAAGGTAAGTTGAACCTTTTAGTGATAAATAGTTTTTAAAGTTCTTGTTGGTGGAGCCAGCTTTTAGCGAAGCGTATATTATTCAGACAAGCCGCTGTTTGAGGTGCTGCCAGCAAAATGTTAGACTAAAAAACAAGACAGAGGTTGCACTAACAGCACTTGCATAATGTATGAACAGAACAGAGTAGTGCTTAGTTTGTGCAGCAAAGCTTTTATTACACAGCTGTCATCCAGAAAACACTGTAGTAAAGGCAAAGTGAAAGCACATGTATAATATATATTAAAATACACACTACTAAGAACAGTATGTACCAAGATGATAAGTGACACCTGAACTGAATAGTTGGAAACTGAATGTTTTGCATGGTGGGATTCTTTTCAGCATGCAAGTGGTGCTGGATATTGTTAGAGACCCAAGTAGATAAAGTGACTGTGTACAAAATAATGGTGATACAAAATGTGCACTTAAACTTTACTCTGCTCAGTCAGTTTAATAAGTAGCTGGTTTTTAGTGTCATCATGCATTGGTAATACAATTTTGGGTTCAGATGCCAGCTGTAGAAGATACAACAGTTTTGTTTTTGTTTTTTTTTTTGATTGTTTGTATTTATCTGTTTTGGTGCTCGCTATTTAGCTAAAGGATTGTCTGAATGATTTCCACACTGCTCGTTGCTAATAAAAAATGAAAAAGTGGTTGATGTGCTTGTAACCTATGTTTGGATTGTTGCTGTTGTATTCTAGGAAACTTGTTAACATAAACCGAGCTAATAGTTTTGTGACCTCTGTGCCTCGGACAGGTTACCCTACATACAAAGAAAAGGTCAAGAAAAGACCAGGTGGTCGTCCAGAGGTAATTTACAACTACGTCCAGAGGCCCTTCATCCGCATGTCCTGGGAAAAGGAAGAGGGAAAAAGCCGCCACGTGGACTTCCAGTGTGTTAAGTCCAAGTCCATCACTAACCTGGCGGCGGCAGCAGCTGACATCCCCCAGGACCAGCTGGTGGTGATGCACCCTGGCCCCCAAGTGGATGAACTGGACATCCTCCCTAATCACCCACCTAGTGGGAATCACTACAGCAATGAGCCTGACTCTGATGCACCTTCACCTGCTGTCTGAGGGCATGCTTGTCCTCTTTCAATGCCTCTGCCCCTCTCCTACTCCTCTAGTTCTACTCCCAGCATGCTGCAGCATGGAGCACCAGGGGCACCATAACCATATTGCCTTGACACCTCCTTTGCGGCCTTAGAGCCTCAAGAACCTGAATGACTGTAGGAAAAGAGATGAGGGATATAAGACTGGTGAAAGCAAGGTTCACTATAAATTTACATTTTGTTTTTTACTTGACCAAAGGAATTTATTTTTTTGTTCAGAAATAATCAGTAAAAACCTTATTATTAACGTTATTATTTACAATGTTATTGTACCTTAATTTGACTTGTTTTGCTGAGCACGTTGGTGTCACTGTTTTTTCACAGGTTTTATTTTATATTATTTGGATTCTTTCAATTGGCTAATTAATAAATGTGCTTTGTGGGGAACGAACGGAAGACTTGCTATATGACTTTCTGGTCATGGAGAAATTCAGTTATCACCTCTTAGTGTCATCCAGTTGATTTCCCATCAGATGTCTTTGAATCATGTATTGGGGTATGTAGTCATTGACTGGATCTGATGATGATGTTATTGCTCCTCTTGCAGCCAAGATATTAAGCAGAGCACAGGCTGTTGTGGTCAGTCTTTTTGTGCAAAGCTTGAAATTGTTGTTTAAAACAAAGTCATCAAATAAAGACTTAAACATTGTATATTTGATCAGTGATTGTAAAGCCTGTTGACCTGTTTTCATAAGAGCTACACGGGATTGACCTCAGTCAGGATACATTTAAGAGCAGCTACACTGCACACATCATAAAATCAGTAAGTATAAAACAAAAAAAATATAAATCTTTTTTTCAGATGCTTTGCACACTGAACAAAAGACCAAATGATACAGCATGAAGGTTAAGGACATGAAGTCAGTGACAGAGGCCATGCTCAGACCTCAGCTGCTGACATTGCTGCTCAGTCCCTCTGTCCCTGCTGAAGCCCCAGGAGAACGGATGTGAGGGAAGCTGTCATGCTGAGGAAGGAGGCGTTCGACTTTCATTCATTCTGTTTTGTTTACTCTGTCTCATGCACAGTTGTAAATAGTTTTGCCCAACTCTCCTTGCCTGGTGCCTGTTCTGGCTTCTCAGGTTCTTCACCCAAAACGTGTCATCTGGAAGGTGGTACTTTGCATAACTATAAATCTTAGGGCTCATAGTAAACACTGTCCATCCCAGATTTAAGTGGTCATCTGGCCATTTGACCAGATGAGACTTGTGCTGTATAGTTCAAACAAGTTTTTGTGGTCAGTTTTGGCTGTTCTTGAAAAGCAATACAATGTTAAGATGCAATACAATAAGATGTTTTGTCCAAAGGTACAGAAAGTCAGTTTATCAGACTAATTCAACACTTCACTCTCATTAACACCTAAATAATTTAGTGCCTCATACACACACCTCTTATCATTAGGGTATAGCAAGTACAAACCACATGCAGAAATGGCCATCACTGGAAACATTTACATTTTAATGTAATGCCTTGCTCATTGGCTTTCTACTCCTCTGGAGATATCCTCTGTTATAACATTTATGATGCATGGTATAGCAGTCATGCAGGGAACATAACACCGGCTTCTACCAGATCTTGACTATCTCCAGATTGTCCTGAAGACAGAGGCCCAGAGACCACATTAAACTTCTTCTGCAGCCTCCAGTGCTTCAGAAACATCCTTCTTGGTCTGCCTTGACGTCACACCTTTCTGTGTTATTGAGTATAATTACACTTGGTTGTCTCTGTCCTTCTCCCTGTCCGTATTTTCCATCTGTCCCATCACCAGGTTTTTCACAGCAGCAGAGACCATGGATGATGAAACAGTCTCTTCAAACACCTTCCGGTCGTCTGAAATCACTCTGGGGTTGCCCATCCTTTTACAGGTGTGAGTAAACAGACATTTGGTTTAATTGTTATATAGTAAGCAAACCAACAAATTCTAATTCACTGTTATTTACTACTGAAAGTGTACTGAAACTGTCACTGTTTCTAAATATCTTGCTCAAAACTTAGTGACAATTATTTCACAGTCTTAAAAATTTACATTCTTGATTTATTACCCTCTATTACTATAAAAATATTTTAATCAAGAGATGACTATACCTCTTGATCTCCAGTAATTCCTCTTCAATCATCCGCCTAATCTTCGCAGCCCCTGCCCTTGTGCCACCAGAGATTCCAGGCACTGTCTGTAGGTCCGACTTCCCTTCGCCTGCAACGAGATGAGTCTGTAAGAAACTTGTGTGATGATTTGTTTGGTGATTAAACACAGATAGGAAAGGGCTGTCTCCCACTCGCCTGGTAGTAGTGTACTGTGAGCCACTGTGTGTGGGAAGCACTGGGCTGATGATAACTCAAGTCTGCCACCTAAAGGACTAATTTGTCACAGAGAAATTGTGGAACAAAGAGGAAAGATGAATGACTGTGTTTGGACAATTTGCTGTGAAACTTGCTGCATAGATTTATCATCCCCAGAGGATGAATTGTTTGATCACTATTAACTGGTCAAAATTTCTTTTTGTTTATGATGAAACACCTGCAAAACAAGCAGCATTCCCCTCAGCCACAGCTGGACTCCGTTTATTAGCAAATGTTAGTATGTTAACACACTGGTAAACAGGCTAAACATATCTGCTATACATCAACATGCTGCCATTGTCACTGTAAGCATGTTAGCATGCCGATGATAGCCTGGATAGCAATTTTGAGTATATAAAACTAAAAACTGCAAATATAAAAGGATGTCATACAACAAAGGCCTGTTTTACTCATGTGGCTACAGTGTTGGTAGAGACAATGTATTCTGAACCAGCAACGTGATGAATGATGTGTCTTTTATTTTTAATGTGTAGCAGTTTGTATTGATCTTCTCTCTCCTCTGCAGCACTTACAGCAGACAGTGGCAGAAGGGATACAAGGACAGGGAATGAATGAAGTGTCCACAGGTAAGATGAACTGCAACATTTTGCACTCATTGCTTCATTCTGCACTGTAATTCCACCAGGGCAGATTAGACTGTCACCAAACATGGACTGCAGTCTTGCTTTTAAACTAAAACAAAGAGGACACACCATACTGAGTTGAGAGGAACTGCAGATTTGGTTGAAAATTCCACATGGGTTCATCACTGTGAGCAACTACTATATATACATAAACAAAAGCTCCTCCGCCTCCTGGCCCCACCTGCTGACTCACTTTAACCACCTTTTTCATGGAAGAGAGCTATCCTACCCTGCAGCCACATCCACATCTTGGCCCACCAAAAGCTTTAAACGTAACCATGAAAATACTCTGGCCATGAAAAATACAAAAGCACTTAATTATGTGGCTGCCTTTAGTGCAAAACAAGTTTCAAGTGCTATTCAGTTTGCACGTCAGAACTTGAGGGCATGCAGGCATGGATTTGGAAAAGCAGCATCATATTTGGGAGCAAGGAAGGATCCCTGCTGCTCGCTCAAATCACCTGTTACGCTCACGATTCTGTCCCCCCTCGCTCTCAAATCGTTTTCTGCTCTTACAAATCTGTGCCTGCATGCTCTCAAATGCTGAGCTGCAAACTAAGTAGCACTCAAAACGGGGATTGCGTGTCCTCAACATTTAGGCGGGGATGTACTTGCATAAAAATGGCTCAGGGTATGAGGAAGAGGGGCCTTGTTAGGGTGTTGGTTTTATAAAAACCTGGGGATGCTATTTGTCCTTGCAGTTGACAGTGCTGTTTCACAAGGCTTTTCATGGTGCAACTCTGTGCATGGACAGATTTATTGTTAAAATATTAAAACTTGCCCTTTAAGTCATGCATTTTCCACTTTGATTAAAAGTAAAATCTACAACTACCCTCAGTATCAAGTGTTTTAGTTTCTCATCTGATAAAAATGCAAGTCTGTGTTCAATTTCTGTCTAACAGCTGGCAGCACAACCTGATTTTTAGAGACAGAATGTAAATCAACACTTTAAATATGCATTCCCTGATTTTTTTTTTTATATAAAAATCACCATTCTCTCACCTTGTAATGTGCTGAACTGTGATACACAACACTGACAGCTTGCCCAGTTTGCGTGATTTACTGTAGTTTTGCACATGGGCTCTAATGATGCCAGCTCATCTATGAAGCTGTTCATTTTATGCCTGTCTTTTCTCCACCTGACCCTGAATCTTTTCCATTTCCATTCTTGCTTCCATACGAGCTACACGGGAAAAGAAAAGAAGCTGTGGTTACCTCACCTTCTTATTGCAGCCTTGTTGTTTCACCACAATACCTGTTAGATGGATATGTAATGTTAGACCTGCACCTTCCAGACATTCAGTTCAGCAGAAAAACGTTTAAGTCTTTTAATCCACATTTCACCCAAAATAAAAACAAAAGCAACATACCAAATCAACCAGTATCCAGGTGTAATGTACAGTAGGACTGTGACCTGTAGATCAGCTCACTAGTGGAGCTTCCTTTCCTTTTGCAAGAGAAGTTTTTACTGGTTGTGCCAGTGGAGCTGCTGATTAGGCTGGTTGATTGTGAGGACATAAACCTGCTCAGTGTAGCTGAAATGCCCATACTTTTTGTGAAGATGACTTTATAGAAGTGCTGAAGGAGTTATGAAACATTATCAGAGCTTTCACTGTGAAAACAAGTGAATGATACTCAGATATTAAACTTAAAGATGCATGCTTAACAACAGCTTTATCTTTTACTTACACCATATGAGATCCAGATGTTTTGATAGAGGCAGAGGCTCTTCATGCACCTCGTTGACCTGCTTAATTGACCCTTTAAACTAAGTAATCTTAACATCTGAGATTAAATAACCAGCTCAAAAACATGACATAAGAGGATGTGTATGCTTTTAACTGAAGATCAAAATCAGCCTTGCATAAACCAATGACACATTCGACAATAAACAGGATCTGATGTAACTGTTCTGTGAAAGGATCCCTGTTGGAGGTCATTATGTAAAATGCTGCTGTTTTATTAGTCAAGTAACAAGTTCCCTAAGCTTCAAATCTGTAGTTAGTTGTCATATTGTGCCGCTAAATTATTTGCTTCCTTGAATTAATGAAAGAACTTGTGGCAAGCTGTTAAAAATATTTTTAAAAATTCATTTCTAGAGTTGCTATAAAGGAATCAGAAAATAGAGAGATGGAGCAAAATTAGCTTGAAAATAAAAGTTGAGCAGAGTGAACAGATGGCAGGAGTAATTGCACACCTGTTTTCACATTATCACCGTCAGTAATGTGAGCTTTGTAAAGGCTCCTGGGATTTAAGCACAATCTGGTCCTTCCAGTTTCCACCACAACATCCCCATATTACTAAACATAATAATTCATGTCTTTTTAGTCCCATTATAACACTGTCCTTAGGCCCTTTGTCAACCTTTACTCTTATGTAACAGCACCTCTGGTTTCATAAGATCAAACTTGAAACTGTCTTTGGAAGACATTCAGAATTTTATCAGCACGGTTTATGGTATTGCATTGCCTTCAGAACCGAACTTACAGCAATGAGTAAAACCCTTTCTATCAACCATTTTACTACAAAAGAAGAGAGAACCCAACAACTTACAACACAGAGCATGAGCAACTGAAGAACCATTAATGTACATTATGCTACATTAAGGTGGAAAACGCTGCAAATAAATTAAAAGCCAGCTGAGAATCATTATTGATTAATCTGATG